TGGTTGATAAAATATTTGGCAATTGGACTAAGTCCAATTGTCCAATTATTTAATTGGATTAATTGAACTATATCCAAATTGTTCAATTGTTCAATTAGTCCAATTGACAACACTGTTTACCATTATATATGTTATTGATCATTGGCACGTGCGAAATTTGACGCAGTATTAGAAAGTCAAAATGATCATGTGATGATCTTTTATTGTTAAATATTCTGATCTTACATCAATCAATCATAAAGTATTTATTAGAAAGCTTTCCATGAGGTGATTTGTACTCGTTACAGTCATGAAAACATTCAAAAGAATATTTTCTAGAAAGAAAGGTTCGGTTTTTTGCAAGGTTTAATGTAGAACTTTCAATCATATTGTACTGAATATTCTGCTAATTACAGCTAAAGGCGCGTCCACTATTATTACCCCAGCAAGCGAGACTGTTAATGTCGAAGCTGTTAATGTCGAAGGAAATGCTGAAGGTACTTCAACTAATACGAAACAAAAAAGTGTGGCCACAGCTAAAGATACTTCAGCTCAAATCATCGAGGGATTAGACTCCCTTCATCTTGAAACTCCACCCGAAACTGTGGATTCCCTTCGTGCGTATGAAAAAGATACTGATGAGGCACAGAGATTTTTAGGTACGACCAAAATTTTGTATATTTTATTATTCTATTGTCTGATTAACTAACATCTTTATAGATCGTATGGGAAATGATTTCAGATGGCCTACTTCTATGCCCCAAAACACCAGAGATCAAGTCTTCTGGGTTTTCACTGATATCGATGTAACCGAAGATGATAAAGAATACGCGCTCAATTGCATTTATTTTTACAATAGTCTTGACAAGGGAATGTTTGATGAACATAAACAGGATTGGGTACTGGTGTACAAGCAGAGTGTGGTTGAATATGGAGAAAAGAAGTCAAATAAGCAACGGTCAGATCTCGATCGTGAAATGCCTGGTGCCCTTTATCTCCCAGTAGATTCATTACTTCGTGAAGTATTTCTTAATCCTAAAATTCCCGCAGCGAGAGCAGTACTTTCCCAGCGTTCTGCTGATGGGGGAGAATATACATTTAAACTTACACTTTTTTGCTTTGCTATTTAGTTTTTTTGTTAATAAAGAATAATATTAATAAAGGTTCAAGCTCGAGTCAAAAGAGTTGGAAACGAAAATACAAATTTTATTACTCTTGCTTATCGATTTAATGATACAAAAAATCGGAATAAACTTTACAAGACAGTTATTGACACAGGTGCTCCAGAAACAATACTATCCTACGAAGTCCGTTCATACCTAGGAACAGCTGGATGGGAAAGACAAGCGGTAGTTGCACCTGGATATGGAGCACCTGCTAAATTGTTTTTAGCTACAGACCCATTTCAAGTATCTATTGGGGATGATAATAATTGGAGCAGATGGGTCCAGACCAATACGCTTCGGGTGTGGGAACGAAAGGCCGGTGACCAGGTGGATTCTTCCCTTATCGGGAATGATGTACTGGACCAATTTACTTATGTCCACCGGAGTGGAAGAGGACTTTTTTTCTTGAATCAACGACATGAAGGTCCACTAAGTGCATATTTAGATAACATATCACCTTGACATACTTAATACAGATTGCATTGTTTCAGAAGTGAAATGAAATGACTTGTTGAAAATTAGTCTATACGCAAACTGATTTGTATAAATTATGCCCAAATTAGAAAATGCAAAAAAAACTTATCACTTAATGCATAACTTTGAAACCTGTACATAATATTACATTCTATTTTTAACTCGTGTATACTTTATTGTGATGTAATCGCTGTTACCAATAGATATGCTCAAAAGATAGGATTTCCTGACCCAAAGATCAGCAAAATTTGTCATATGATTTTTATGGCTTCGAGAAAGGTTAAACAAAATGTTCTAATTATGCCCAAAAGATGTTTAGAATTTCAATACTACAGGCAAAGAAAAAATAGCACGGGTAAAATGAGTAGATGATACCAATTATGTAATTGCTGAAGTTTTAAAAGCACGTAATATTGCGCTACATTTTACTGCGCCCTGGTGACGATTAAAAAAAAATAAATACTGCGCCATGAGTTATGTTTCTTTTTTTAGCTATACAGATCATTTTTGCCAAGAAAATTTTTTTTCACGGTGTCACATGATTTTTTCACAGAGTACTGCGATAAATTATCACTTGATATACTTTACTAAACCACATGATTTATTTCATTTTTTCTGCGCAATATTGACCTACCATCAGAAAAAATAGTATTTCTTGCACATGTATTTCAAACATGTATTAATAAAGCATTTTGGGGTTTTATTTTAGTGTTTGACATGCATCAATGAACTGCTAAATATAATATAAAGTACTTTTGCCCGAACATCATGGAAAATAATTTGCTACTTTCAATAAGATTTCGAATAAAAAACCATGGCTAATTTGCTGACTACTGCGCCATATGATTCTGCGCAATTAAGTCGAGCCCGGACACCGTGTCCAGACTCTACCATCAGAAAAAATAGTTGTAATAATTTTCCCGAATCAAAGGCTATCCGGCTAAAGAAAAAATCTGGAATATACTGTAGAAACTCGCCAACACTCCTAGGAACTGACAGGAGATCTCATGTGATACGATATACAGTACATCAGCCACAAACTGTGCATGTACAGTAAGTCCTATATAAATCTCCGATATGCTTATAATCGAATAAAAATGAATTTAGTTTTACTATTGCTAAATCAGCTAAATCATTATAAAAAAAACACTATAAAAACGCTAATTAACTATAAATCGTTTATTATGTCAGGAACTCATATTAATAGAACAAGGCCTAATAAATATATTTATATGATCTTAGATAAGATCTTTAATAAATCTGTGCCTAAACCCACTAATCTTCGCTCTGGTTATGAAATGGAGTATATTAAAAAATTATTATACATATATCGGTTATAGCACTCCTTTTGACTTTGAAAAGGCACTTGAGGCAGAAAAAAAATTTGATAATTTATCTATAATTAAATCACATGAAACTCCACAATAATAGGCTGATCGAGTAAGATCAACTTTGCAAATATTAATTAATGAAAAATACAGTGGCTCACAAAAGTAATGCAACCGCTAAGCATAAAACTTTAAATTAATGTAACTTTTTTTTATTCATAAA